TCTTCTTCGCTTTCCCATGCTCACGCTGGGGGGCTGAGGAGATGCTTCTGTCCTTGACTCCTCTCATTCCATTCCATCACAGAAGGTTTTTTTTAATTTAAGCATTTATGCAATCTACCCCCTCATTCATGGTGGTTTATAAATATCTGAAAATCTTAGTCATAATGCACTACGTAGTACATTAGATTTAAAAACGCATTGCATGTGTGTACATTAGGGTGGTGTATTGCTTCAGATGCAAAGAAAACTATTCAGATCAGGAGGAGGGGGAGAAATGCTCATATATCACTCATCTGGAGCTCCCTACAGCATCTGCCCTGCCCTGCCCTTTCCAACACTGCATAGCGCAACTGCAGGAGAAGACGTGTGGTTTAAGGGCTTGCAGAGGGGCTAGCTGCACACCCCTTCATGTTCCAAAACACTGCACAGTCCTAATCTGTACGATAAATCAACGTTCATAGAAGAAAAGCATTACTAAAACAACCTGAATTTATTTCAGTGAGGCATATTTTGTAACGAGCTACATTACAAGTGACTTGAGAGAGAATTCCATTATTTCAGGTTGCTGCAGGAAAGGTCCTGCTTATTTATAGATGGACAGTTTTACTTAAGAAGAATCAACTCATGCTCTGTCTAAGGTTTACGCTAATATTGAATGGGAAATTTGGCCTAGAAATTCCTCGATTCCATGAGGAGAGTTTTAATTCACTATTATTAACGACTCAAAGGAGACTCATCAAATGTTTCAAGTATCCGAGTATCATGCAGATGAGAGCCCAGACTAGCTCTGTATTATTCTACAGTACAAGAAACAGAACAATGGGATTATAAAGGGAGTCCTTGTTTAGTGACCACAATTGGGACCAGCAACTTGGTTGTTAAGTGAAGCAGTCACTAAGTGAAACCACTCTTGTGCTTGCAATCTGACTTCAGCTTCCCTTTGCTTTACAGACCTGCAAAGGTCATAAATGCAAGGACTGGTTGCAAAGTTACTTTTTCATCACCGTCGTAACTGTGAACTGTCACTCTACAAGGCAGTCACTGAACAAGAACAATCTGTATATTACAGGAACTGGAAACCCTAATAGGAAGAGCAGTTTGACAGTGGGGACAATTGCCTACAGAGATGGGGGTCTCCCCTTTATTGGATGTCTTCAAGCAGATGCTTTATAACTATCTCTCAAGGATGCTTTGGATTCTTGCACCAAGCAGGGAGTTAGACTCAAGAGCATGAGCGACTCCTTCCAATTCTATATTTGATGACTTAGTTTCATTTTGAGAGCCAGTTTGGTGAAAAGGTTAAGATCCTCAGAAATGAAGAGACTTGAGTTCTAATCCTGCCTTAGGCACAAAGCCAGTTAGGTGACTTTGGGGCAGTCGCTCTCTCCCACTCCTGGAGAGAAGGCCAGGGCAAACCACCTCTGAAAATCTGGCCAAGAAAACTGCAGGGACTTGTCCAACCAGTTTCCAGGAGTCAAAACTGACTCGAAGGCATACTATTAAAAATCAATCTTGTTTTAGAAAAAGGGGTTGCCTGTTTAGGAATTTCGACTTGTGTCTGTGCTGCAGCCATGTTTAGATGTGCGGCAGTTTTAAAAGATAGCTCATTTCCTCAGAGTGCAGGAACTTCTATTCATTGTTACCATTTTTGAGTATTAAAAAAGAAAGGGAAAATGCGTTGTAAGCTTTCATGGGATCATGAGATGGTTCATGCCAGAAATCTTAAACTCTGAATCCAGTAGGGGGCACCAAAGGAATGTGGGGACAGATTTTTTTATTTTTTTCTCCTAGTTATGATCTATCTCTAGTTACGAAACTAAAAGCATAAGAATTTCTTTAAGGGCCGATTAGAAAGTCACAAAAAGGTTACAAAATGTTAGCAGCCTATTTAAAATGGGCAGGGTGGAGAAAACAGCTTTTCTCTACCGATATCAGGATGCTGTTGTTTGAATAATGGATGCAAATTTACCAACATGATTCTGTGGTTCAGTAGTTTCCATAAATTTGAAACAAATGTTTTTCCTCCTGTAAAAAGGTAAATGCTCCCAGGCCACTGAGCCACAAACTAGCCAGCCACATTTCAATCTCCTGTATTGTGCAAACCCAGACCCTGTGTTTATTTGATGTAAGTTACTTTCCTAGTCTCCAAGCACTGAGCAAAAGCCTCGAAGTTCCCTAGGCTCTTTTTTTAATGCGTGTGCCTTCAAGTCAGTGTGGACTCCTTGCATCTGCCTGGACAAGTCCCTGCAGTTTTCTTGGCAAGATTTCAGAAGCATTTTGCCCTTGCCTTCTTCTAAGATGGGACTAGAACTCACAGTCTCCCAGGTTCCAACCTGTGCCTTAACCACTACACCAAACTGGCTCTCTCCCTATGCTCTGGCTAAAAAAAATATAGCAAACCATTGAATATCAAAGATCGATTGTAAGGGTTATTTTTTCCCCCTTATCCTTATCCTTATTTGGATTTTCAAGCAATCCCCAGTAATTTGGAAGAGCATTTCTCCCCCATCAGAATTTCTGAATGATTTCAGTTTGGTTCTCTAACCCTGAATCTGTCCACGTCATCCGCCATTTTGTATGCAAATGCCGACCTTCCATGGGATTTTCTGGGTCTGTGTGGAATTCGCCAGGCACGTCCATATGGTCA